TCTTTCCTCGGGTTTCGGTTCAAGATCTGCTTTTTGAGGACATCACATAGTGTCTGATGCCCTTTAAGACTTTTGTACATCCCTGTTTCAAGCAATGTCTTCAACTAGCATTCTCATCAGCAATAGTAGTGGAATCCTCAGCAGAGGGGTTAGTTCCCACATCAACAGTTGAAGATATTGCAACAGTAGCAGCAGTAGAACATTCAGCAACAGTAGTAGCATTATCACGCTCAATGCACTTAAGACATGGTGGTTCAAATCCTTCCTGAGCGGAGCTGATCTGTTCGGCGCGAAGTGACTCGTTTTCCTTTTGAAGATCTTCATGAGCCGCTCTCAATTTCTCAAGATCTTGCTTCCTTTGAAGATAATCATAGGAAAGCTTTTCATGAGTCGTTGAGAGCGTTTCATGACGACTTTCAAGTTCATCATACTTAACGTGAAGATTTTTTATGTCTTCAATTAAGGACTCAGATCGAGTCATTTCAGCACCTAACAGATCGTCGCTTTTGTCTAACAGTTTTTGAATATGTTCCATGGCTTTCTGTTGTTCAGTTGCAATTTTAGCAAGTGTTTTGTAGCTGGGTTTTGAACCACAATCAGAGTCATCGTCACTAGATGTTTGATAGTGAATAGTGCGTGTGTTTACCTTGGCACCGCGTGCCATGAAGCAGTAGGTAGGAGCGGAGTAGTCCTTGTCGTTTGCATCGGTGTCGGTGATGAGGTCATTATCTTCAGTGTTGAAGATGGACTTGGCAACGTATGTTGTAGCCAGACTTGCGACGCCAGAATCGGACTCCTCCTCAGACTCCACCTCAGCCTCCTCAGAAGCGGACTCCTCCTCTGAATCCATTTCCTTGCCAACAAACACACGTGCCTTGCCAGATGAGCTCTTCTTGTGTGATGAAGACTTGGAAGAAGACTTTGAGTATTTCTTCTTCTTCTTGTCGTCAGAGTCATATTCTTTGCTCTTCTTCTTTTTTTGTTCTCATTGTCCCATTGTGGACACTCAGAGATGAAGTGGCTAGGTTTCTTGCACTTGTGACATGTTTTCTTCTTGTAGTCATGAGCAGAAGCTTCATCATTCCTTGAGCTTGATCGGGAAGACTTTCTGAAGCCTTTCTTCTTGGTGAATTTTTGGAACTTCTTCACAAGCATATCAAGTTCCCTTCCAATGTCTTCAGGATCATCAGAACTGCTGTCAGATTCTTCTTCAGATGAGGAGACAGCTTTTGCCTTCAAGGCACGAGTTCGCCCATAGTTTGGACCGTAGATATCTCTCTTCTCAGAAAGCTAAAACTCATGTGTGTTGAGCCTCTCAAGTATGTCAGACGGATCGAGTGTCTTGAAATCAGGACGTTCTTGAATCATCAGGGCTAGGGTGTCAAACGAACTGTCAAGTGATCTCAGTAGTGTCTTGACGACTTCATGCTTGGTGATCTCAGTAGCGCTAAGGGCTTGAAGCTCATTCGTGATGTCAGTGAGTCGATCAAATGTGAGTTGGACATTCTCATTGTCATTTCTCTTAAAGCGGTTGAAGAGGTTGCGGAGGACACTGATTCTCTGATCTCTCTGGGTTGAGACGCCTTCGTTGACCTTGGAGAGCCAGTCCCAGACTAGCTTAGATGTTTCCAAAGCACTCACGCGGCCATACTGTCCTTTTGTCAGATGACCACAGATGATATTCTTGGCAGTAGTGTCCAGTTGAATGAACTTCTTGACGTCAGCAGCAGTGACACCTTCTCCAGCCTTGGGAACGCCGTTCTTGACGACATACCATAGGTCGACGTCAATGGCTTCAAGATGCATGTGCATCTTATTCTTCCAGTAGGGATATTCAGTTCCATCGAAGATGGGGCACGCAGCAGAGACTTTAATTATCCCTGCAGTCGACATAGCTAAAACTCCAGGTGGTTAAACCGAATCACACAGAACAAGGGAGTACCTTGCTCTGATACCAATTGAAAGTGCATTATATCGACTAGAGGGGGGGTGAATAGGCAATTTTTATGAAAGTCTTCAAAACATGGAAGTTATGAAGACAAACAATAGAAATAAACCTATTACCCTCTGTAGCGGAAGGTAGACTACACTAGGCAAGCCATAGTCAAGTATTCAATAGAGTGACAGCACAATGACTAATAGCAGTAATGTAGTAAGGATCAGGTAGGAAGATATTATGAAGCCAAACAGAACACGCAGTCACTCAGTGAAGATAAAAGATAGTGCAATCATACAATGACTTCACAAGGAGTAACAGTACGTAAAGAGAAAGGAAGGATGAAACCAGTGACTCGTTGAAGACAATGATGTGTTGGACTAGTTCCAGTTGCTGTGACAACTGTACGTCTGGTTAGGGCGGCTAGATATTTAAACCTGAGGACACACAGTCCCGGACACCCAGTCCTGAACACGCAGCTTAGGACACCCAGTCCTCACCATATTCCCCTTGAGCTAAGGTCACACAGACCTTACCCAATCACTCTGGTAAGTCTTCAAGGTAGACTCCCAAACCTTCACAGACTTCGTTCACCGGCAATCCACAATGTCTCTTGGATGCTCAGAACGCGACGCCTAACCGGCTGGAGGATTCACAGTCCTCAAGTGTAATAAGTCTTCAGATCACACAGACAAGAAGACTTAAGTGATGCCTAATTCTCTTTGGCTTTGGGTGGTTAGGGCTTTATCCTCGCTAGGAATTCTCTCTCAAATGCTTCGAGGTGGGTTGCTCTCAAACGACAAAAGCCGTACACTAACTCTGAGCAGCCAACCGTTTATGGTTGTAGGGGGTGGGCTATTTATAGCCACTAGGCAACCCGACCTGATTTGTCCGAAATGACCCTGGGTCACTAAGGAACTGACACGTGTTCCAACGGTCAGATTTCAAACTCACACGGCAACTTTACTTGGGCTACAAGCAAAGCTGACTTGTCCGACTCTGGACAATATTCGCTCTCATAGTCTTCACTCGAAGACATAGGTTTTGGTTAGGCATCACTTCAGTCATTCTGACTGGTTCTCTTGGACCCCACTTAACAGTACGGTGGTTCCTGTGACTCAATAAAGAAAAAAGAGAACTACGAAAGATCTAAGTCTTCGAGCTCCATAGGCTTCATGTGATGTCTTCTCTTGTCATAGTCTTCAATGTGAATATCTTCATATACCACCTTTGACTTCAATGTCTTCATACATTTTTAGGGGTCATCTCTGGTAGGAAAACCGAATCAATGAGGACTTCTACCTGTGTTATCCTGCAATTCTCACAAACACATTAGTCCCTCAACTAGGTTTGTCGTTAATACTCCAAAACCAACTAGGGGTGGCACTAGATGCACTTACAATTTGTCCAAGAGCAAATGCCACTGATCAGTGCACAAACTCTTTAAGGAAATGCCACTTATCAATCCCGCTTGTTGCTAGGCAAATGCCACTGATCAGTGGACTTGCCCAACAGCAAGTGCCAATGATCAGTGGCATCTGCTTTTCTACAACTGCCACTCATCAGTGCACTATCCTAATCATGGAAATATCTAAAAATAGCAACAACAAGTGCCAATAGCATCCATGTGCAGCCATGCACATTTGGCAGCATCCTAAAATGGTCCTACTACATACACGTATAACAATCAACACAAACCCTAGCTTGAACATGTATGTTGGCAACATGAACAACAACATGAACATGATCCTAGCTTGAACATGAACATGCCATTGCATGAACACACATCCTAACAAGATCCCTACAATGAACACAGATCCTAGCAAAGCACACTACCATTGGGATTCTAGCATGAACACGGATCCTAGGACACACTAGCAGTAGCAGAAGAAAATTATCCTAGGACACACACTATACGAAACAAGAACATATTGGTCCGATTGGATTCGATTGGGATCACATCGTCCAATTGGATCTACTCCAATCCCATCTAATCATATCGAATCCACTAACTACTAGCACATGCCTAAGAATTAAACCCCTAATCTACATCTACGAGCAAGCATTGAGGGGGTTTGACTCACCGGAGCACGTGAAGTCGTAGCGAACCGAGGCCGGGGTGAAAACCCCGGTGGGAAGGAGAGAGGTGGCGGAGCAGAGGAGGAGCCGACCCTGGCGACGGCCTGCGGCATCGGCCCCGTGCTCATCGCCACGCCGGAGGTCGAGGAGGACGGCCTGCCGACAGGAGAAAACCCTTGGACGGGGGTCAAGAAAACCCCCCTGCCCAATGGGGTCCCGGAATCCGCGACGCAGGAACGGCCGACACCGCATTGGCCGGCAACAGATGGGGGACGACGCTCGCAGCACCGACGCCAGGTCTCGCTCTGAGTTCTAGAGCCCGGCCAGTCAGCGCTCCTGGATGCTGGCGATGCGCTGGTCGACAGGGGTCAGAGGGCGGCGCGACGGTGGGCAAGGCGGAGCCATCGGAAGAGAGGAGAGGGAGGGGCGGTGAAGGAGAGAGGGAGCAATGGGAACAGTGCGACTGAACGGTGACAGAAGAGTGGGGGGCGAGTTATGAGACGCCCCCTCCGTCTCCCGCGCTACCCGAGGCATGCAACTGCCTCGCACGTGTGACCGCGCCCAGTCAGGCTCGCAAGAAACTGCCGATTCGGCAGTTTCCGCCGGGCCAGGCTGCGGGCTGCTTTAAGGTCCGTGCGGGCCACAAACCGCATGCAGCCCAGGCAACCAAACAGGCCGCGCACATCCCGCGCGGGCCTGGTTGGGCTGCATGCGGGCAACCAAACACGCCCTACATTCTTTGGCAGCGCACAAGGAGCTTCACATTCCACAGAGCGTTCATTGTCTTGACTCTGAACTCAAAAGAGGATCTCACAAAATGTTCCAGGATACTACTTCCTGGGCTATACATGCAATGCAAATTACATCTCTACAGATATACATTAACTGTTTAGTTTTAGACTTCTGATAACCTCTTGTACCAGTAAATGGGGTGTAAAAATTGCTACAATTACATATCAATATTGCTGCCCGAGTTTTCAGCCCATCAGTGCTTGCTGGTGGGAATAGTTTCTGGTCTATTCGGAAGTTCAGAGAATGATGGCTGTCTCTGTAGAACGACTGATGCAGCACGGGTCAGAATGTGTGCGGTTAAGCCCCAAATGACATATTTTTTGCCCTCTGCCTCGTAGTCAAAGAACTGGACCGGAATAGTCTTCCCCATCCAGTCCCTTTGTCTTGTTGTCCGGTTATCATCCTAGAGATTTTGATAGATGTGAGAATTAACTGATGCAAATATCCAACTGTATTTGACAACATAAGAAGCTGAGCAAAGGGAAAATAAAGAAATCACGGTTGCACCTTCAGAAACATCTCCAGAGGGGCGTCAAAGATGTCTTGCACTTCAGCTTTATTCAAGACAGGATTGAATAGAGCTCTATCCGAAAGAATGCCAATTACAGGAGTAACATCAAGGCCATTCTGCAAAACGAAGACTACAGCATGAGCCCTGGCTGGTCTGCGGTTGTATTGAATGAGTGCAAAAGCATGTGCTCATTTCTTCAAATTATGCATTAGATTAAAAGTAATTGGATGGACCTATGCATACTCGTGCATTTAACTGATCAATATGAGTATCTATTTTTAAGAAACCAGCATTATTAGTACAGGAAAGGGCATAGTTATGAGAAAATTGGAGATGGCCAACAGCTAAAGCAGTTCTAAACTTCTCATGAAATGATTATGCAGCATGCGCTTTGGATGAACAATGTCACTACAACAGATTTGCAATACATGCACCGGAAGATACTGAAACGGTGGGAAAAGCAATTTATTAACAAGCAGATTACTGTTTATCTCTTTGACTCTTTCTTCAGGTCATGTCCCTTAATACACCAAATCGAGCATTCACACATGCACGCCATACTGCTTTCTAACATACAAAAGACAGATGCTGCTATAGACAAAATAAGAACACCGCATGCTGTCTGTCAGTGACTCATTCACCAATTTAGATAAAGTATTAAATATACAGAAGTTAAGAGTAAAAATCCTAATCTTAGGAATTTCTAAGATGAATATCCATCCCACTAATTACATCCAACAAGCAATCCTGTCTTTAAAGCTCTGTCAGAAGTGATATACTAAATCCATCCAACTAACCATTCAATATGATAAATACGGATAATATTTAGATGGTGGCCAAAATGTACCCTCCCAGCTATTTGACCAACAACAACAACAACAACAACAACAAAGCCTTTAGTCCCAAACAAGTTGGGGTAGGCTAGAGGTAAAACCCATAAGATCTCGCAACCAACTCATGGCTCTGGCACATGGATAGCAAGCTTCCATGCACCCCTGTCCATAGCTAGCTCTTTGGTGATACTCCAATCCTTCAGGTCTCTCTTAACGGACTCCTCCCATGTCAAATTCAGTCTACCCCGCCCTCTCTTGACATTCTCTGCACGCTTTAGCCGTCCGCTATGCACTGGAGCTTCTGGAGGCCTACACTGAATATGCCCAAACCATCTCAGACGATGTTGGACAAGCTTCTCCTCAATTGGTGCTACCCCAACCCTATCTCGCATATCATCATTCCGGACTCGATCCTTCCTCGTGTGGCCACACATCCATCTCAACATACGCATCTCCGCCACACCTAACTATTGAACATGTCGCCTTTTAGTCGGCCAACACTCCGTGCCATACAACATTGCGGGTCGAACCGCCGTCCTGTAGAACTTGCCTTTTAGTTTTTGTGGCACTCTCTTGTCACAGAGAATGCCAGAAGCTTGGCGCCACTTCATCCATCCGGCTTTGATTCGATGGTTCACATCTTCATCAATACCCCCATCCTCCTGCAACATTGACCCCAAATACCGAAAGGTGTCCTTCCGAGGTACCACCTGGCCATCAAGGCTAACCTCCTCCTCACACCTAATAGTACTGAAACCACACATCATGTACTCGGTTTTAGTTCTACTAAGCCTAAACCCTTTCGGTTCCAAGGTTTGTCTCCATAACTCTAACTTCCTATTTACCCCCGTCCGACTATCGTCAACTAGCACCACATCATCCGCAAAGAGCATACACTATGGGATATCTCCTTGTATATCCCTTGTGACCTCATCCATCACCAATGCAAAAAGATAAGGGCTCAAAGCTGACCCCTGATGCAGTCCTATCTTAATCGGGAAGTCATCGGTGTCGACATCACTTGTTCGAACACTTGTCACAACATTATCGTACATGTCCTTGATGAGGGTAATGTACTTTGCTGGGACTTTGTGTTTCTCCAAGGCCCACCACATGACATTCCGTGGTATCTTATCATAGGCCTTCTCCAAGTTAATGAACACCATATGCAAGTCCTTTTTTTGCTCCCTATATCTCTCCATAAGTTGTCGTACAAGAAAATGGCTTCCATGGTCGACCTCCCAGGCATGAAACCAAACTGATTTTTGGTCACGCTTGTCATTCTTCTTAAGCGGTGCTCAATGACTCTCTCCCATAGCTTCATTGTATGGCTCATCAGCTTAATTCCACGGTAATTAGTACAACTCTGAACATCCCCCTTGTTCTTGAAGATTGGTATTAATATACTCCGTCTCCATTCTTCTGGCATCTTGTTTGCCCGAAAAATGTGGTTGAAAAGCTTGGTTAGCCATACTATCGCTATGTCCCCGAGACCTTTCCACACCTCAATGGGGATACAATCAGGGCCCATCGCCTTGCCTCCTTTCATCCTTTTTAAAGCCTCCTTCACCTCAGACTCCTGGATTCGCCGCACAAAACGCATGTTGGTCTCATCAAAGGAGTCGTCCAGTTCAATGGTAGAACTCTCATTCTCCCCATTGAACAGCTTGTCGAAGTACTCCTGCCATCTATGCTTAATCTCCTCGTCCTTCACCAAGAGTTGGCCTGCTCCGTCCTTGATGCATTTGACTTGGCCAATGTCCCTCGTCTTCCTCTCTCGGATCTTGGCCATCTTATAGATGTCCCTTTCCCCTTCCTTCGTGCCTAACCGTTGGTAGAGGTCCTCATATGCCCGACCCCTTGCTTCACCAAGAGCTCGCTTTGCGGCCTTCTTCGCCATCTTGTACTTCTCTATGTTGTCTGCACTCCTATCCAGGTATAGGCGTCTGAAGCAATCTTTCTTCTCTTTAATCGCCTTCTGAACGTCATCATTCCACCACCAGGTATCCTTATCTTCGCTTCTCCTTCCCATGGACACTCCAAACTCCTCCGAGGCCACCTTACAAATGCAAGTCGCCATCTTCATCCACACATTGTCCGCATCCCCTCCTTCCTCCCAAGGGCCCTCCTTAATGACCCTCTCCTTGAACACCTGAGCTACCTCCCCCTTGAGCTTCCACCACTTCGTTCTAGCGACTTTGGCACGCTTATCCCGCTGGACACGAATCCGAAAGCGGAAGTCAGCAACCACTAGCTTATGCTGGGGTACAACACTCTCTCCAGGTATCACCTTACAGTCTAGGCACGCACGCCTATCTTCTCTTCTCGAGAGGATGAAATCAATCTGGCTAGAGTGTTGGCCACTACTAAAAGTCACCAGATGTGATTCTCTCTTTCTAAAGAGGGTGTTAGCTACAATCATGTTGTAGGCTAGAGCAAAGCTTAAGACATCTTCTCCTTCTTGATTCCTGATGCCATAGCCAAAGCCCCCATGCGCCCCTTCAAAACCTGTGTTAGATGTACCCACGTGGCCATTGAGGTCTCCTCCTATGAAGAGCTTCTCACCAATCGGTACACTCCTAACCATGTCTTCCAGGCCTTCCCAGAACTCCCTCTTGGTGTTCTCATTGTGGCCTACTTGCGGGGCATACGCGCTAATAACATTGAGAACCAAGTCCTCAACTACCAGCTTGACCAGGATAATCCGGTCCCCACGTCTCTTGACGTCTACCACTCCATACTTGAGGCTCTTGTTGATCAAGATGCCTACGCCATTTCTGTTTGCAGCCGTCCCCGTGTACCACAGCTTGAAGCCGGTATCCTCCACCTCCTTCGCCTTCTGTCCTCTCCATTTGGTTTCTTGGATGCAAAGGATATCAACACCTCTCCTCACCGCTGCATCAACTAGCTCCCGGAGCCGCCCTGTCAGAGACCCTACGTTCCAGCTACCTAAGCGAATCCTCCTAGGCTCGGCTAGCTTCCTTACCCTTCGCACTCGTCGAGTCAAATGCGAAGACCCTTGCTCATTTTTCACTACACCCGGGCGCCGATGTAGCGCGCCACTAAGGATGCGACGACCCGATCCTCGCTCACTTGCCACCGTATCCGGATCAAGATACGGCGCGCCACTTGGGGGGTGACGGCCCGGCCCTTGCCCATTTTCCACCACACCCGGGTTCCGATGTGGCGCGTCGCTGAGAGGGTTACGCCCCAACGAAAATCTTTTGGGTTTCATCTCCATAAGAGTGGCTGAGTTTTTACGTTGGCTCGCCAAGCCTATCACAACCCTCCTCCTTTACCCGGGCTTGGGACCGGCTATGTTGAGACAACATAGGCAGAGTTCCTCCCAGCTATTTGACCATGACCAAGAAATTGATCTTTGTTTGGATGGGTCCCAAATTTTTGGCAGGTCAATGCCTCTTTGCTCACACTAAGTCATTTTCCTTGCCTACCTTTGACTAATTCATCGGCAAGCTAAACCTTAACCAACATTTTAACTAGCCAAATATTTGGTACGGCAAGCTTTGGGCTCAAACCAAATATACCATAAAAGAATAACACGAACAAAAGATTCAGATAAGTCTGCATTGCTCATCTGAACTTAATTTACTCTAGAACGACTAAGTGACTTCCTAGTATCGAAAATAGCTTCATCTCTGACTTCGACTATTGTGTGATCAAAGCATATGCAAACCTAGAGAATTCATAGGTAAAAGCCAACAGTAAGTGCCTAGAATTACAATTCCATATCATACCAGCACAAGATTTATTTACCTTGGACAAGAAGGGCTCAAGAACTGTCACAACAGATACAAGCGCCGGGTCCAGCCCAATCTCCTCCTCTGCCTCCCGCAGAGCCGTGGCCTTAACATCCACATCCCCCTGATCCACCTTGCCTCCCGGCAACGACACCTCCCCTATAATATATTTTTGTTAAGAAATTAACTTAGTCTAGTGCCGGAATCGAGCGATACGGATCCCAAGAAGGTTCCGCCTTGGGCTACCTGAATGGGACGAGAGGGTGGAGGCGCGTTTGGTGAGGAGGACGCGGGGGTCCCCGCGTGTGTCCTCGAAGATGCAGACCAGCACGGCGGCGAAGGCCTTGGATGCGGCCGCGCGGGCTGGGCCGGAGGCGGCGGCGGCGGGGGCGCCCACCGAGGAGAGCTCGCCGGAGGGGGAGGACGAGGAAGAGGCGAGGAGGTGGCGTGTGAGGTGGGCGAGCCGTCGGGACGGCGATGCGGAGGGGGCGGCCATGGCGATGTGACTGGGGGCGAATAGGCGGGAGAGCAGAGGCCTCATGACACCGGCGGAGCGGTGATATCGTGGTGCCGGCGGCAATGCCGAGTGCGTGGGGTTTGGACTTTGGAGGCGTCGCCGTCGATGGTGCCCGAAGATTTGCGCTTCGCACCTACCGATGACCGGGCTCGTCGACATCGCGTGATCCGCGTGAGGAATAAGAGCAACTCCAACGAGCCGACCCAGACAGACTCGATTTTGTCCGTTTTTTTGTTTATTTGTATCGCTCATCCGCGCGTCCGCGTCCGCTTTTTTAATTAGGTCAGTCAGTGCGCCCAACAACAGACGGACGCATTTTGTGCATGTCCGTCCTAGCATTTTGTCGAACACATAGCAGGCAGCGACGCCGGTGCACGTCAAGACGAGCTGCGAGGAGACGCACGAGCGAGGCGGCGTGGCAGGGGCGCGAGACGAGGCAAGGCGAGCACGACAAGCATGGCGGTTCGGCGTGGTGTCCATGGCGGCTCGGCAGGACGGGGCATAGTAGTCGGAAACGGGGAACGGTGGGCCGTCCCTCGATCCGGATTCATCGACCCAGAATCAGATTCGGGAACGAGGGTCGATTCGGTAAGATTCGATGCGGATTCAGCGTTTCTGCAGCCGGATCGTCGATTCAGGTTCGGCGACTCGACAGTCTTGGTTCTTGAATCGATCGAGTAAGCAAAAGGTCAGCCATATCAATCAGGAACTCCTCGTTTTACTCTCTGCCCCGTTCTTTTTCACTCCCCTAAATAACTCCTCGTTCTGCTCTCCAATTACTTCAAGGCTGCTAATAAATTTTCCATTGGAAAGGAGATGATTTATTTTAGTCTTCATGGATCGACGGGAGATGACCAACTAGTAAAGATTCACGTTCCTCGTTCCATGGTACCGTACCGGATTCATAGTACCGGAATTGATTGGATCGCGTTTCCGCTTTAGAAAAATCGTTCTAGAGATGTATACCCCCGTTGTACCCTATTTTTTCCAGTCTCCGACTCTCGTCCCCCGTTCCCGTTCCTCGTTCCCATCGTACCGGAAACATGGCAACTGTGGGACGGGGGCGACACGCATGGCAGGTGGATGAAGCGATCATAGCGCGACCGGGCGTGCGAGCTCCACCGATCCAACACGCGAGCGGCGAGGCGGCCGGGCGCGTGAGCTAGCCAGCTACCACGCGGCCACCGGCCGGCTAGCACGCGCGCTAGCTAGCTAGCTAGCATGCGGCGGGCAGCTAGCTAGCAAGCACACACACGCGCAGCTAGCTAGCTAGCAAGGGCGCGGCCATGGCGAGCGTCTAGAGAGCGGCGCGCGGCGCGGCCTAGCGAGGGCGAGCGACGCGGCGCATCGAGAGCGAGCGACACGACGAGGGCGAGCGGCGCGGCGGAGCGAGAGCGAGTGACGCGGCGAAGGCGAGCGGCGAACGGCGCGTCGAGCGAGAGCGAGCGACGCGGCGAAGGCGAGTGACGAGCGGGGCGGAGCGGGGACGGTCAAGCTCGGCTGCGAGCGGGGTGGAGTGCGCATCGAGCGTGGGGTGGGCCAGCTAATAAAAATACATAGAGAGAGGGATGGGTGGGTGACAAGCGGGCCAGGCCCGGATGCAGACGGACGAGAGGGACAGAGAAAGCGCTCGCTTTGTGTCCGTCCACGACCTAAACGGGACTCAAATTTGAGACGGAAATTGGTCCGCGCGGACACAAAGCGGACACAAAATATAAATGGGTCGCTGTGTTGGGTCATCGTTTTTGTCCGCGGCAACTCAAACGGACGCAGCCGGACGAAATAGGTCGCCCCTTTGGAGTTGCTTTAACGGCATGCCTTTTGTGCTGTCAATACGTGACTAGCTAGGTGAGCTGACCGAAATGTGTTGACCAAGGGAAGTGAGGGTAGGACAGAGGTTATGTTATGGCTAGGGCTACGTTCTTTGCGATGAAATCAGTTTTTGGGATTCAAGCTCTAAATTTGACACTGCTTGGTGTTTGTATTTTCTGAATTTATTTTAGATTTTTTTTGACGACGTTTGTTCTATGGGAGGAAATGTTCTGGTTGATTATAAGACGCATGTGATGACTTTATTAATCTTGAATTCGGAGATTCGATCGTCGGTATCCCCGTACTTTGTTCAATCTCGTTACCGGCAAGTCTCTTTACTCGTTCCGTAATGTATGATCCCGTGGCTAACTCCTTAGTCACATCGAGCTCATTATGATGATGCATTACCGAATGGGCCTAGAGATACATCTCCGTCATATGGAGTGACAAATCACAATCTCGATTCGTGCTTAATCCAACAGACACTTTCAGAGATACCTATAGTGCTAGTGCACCTTTATAGCCACCCAGTTACGTTGTGACGTTCGATATACCCAAAACATTCTACGGTATCCGGGAGTTGCACAATCTCATGGTCTAAGTAAATGATATTTGATATTAGAAAAGCTCTAGCAAATGAACTACACGGTCTTGTGCTATGTTTAGGATTGAGTCTTGTCCATCACATCATTCTCCTAATGATGTGATCCTGTTATCAACGACATCCAATGTTCATGGTCAGGAAACCATAACCATCTATCGATCAACGAGCTAGTCAACCAGAGGCTTACTAGGGACATGTTGTGGTCTATGTATTCACACATGTATTACAGTTTCTGGTTAATACAATTATAGCATGAACAATAGACAATTATCATGAATAAGGAATATAATAATAACCATTTTATTATTGCCTCTAGGGCATATTTTCAACAGCAACCATGACATCTTCTTTTGTGTTGTTCTATGGCTTGATCCGGTTTCTCAACCCTTTGTGCTTGTGGTGATGGATTGCAAACCTGTTTTGTGTGAGGTGATGCTCCAGCCGATGCTGCTTCAATGACTTTTAGATCTTGTCTCAAGGGAAAATTCACATCCGACAAGCCCCACCGAATGAGCGTTGACAAGCAAAGAGAAACTGTCATTGAAACTCGTCGTTTCTTCTTGTAGATTTTATGCTGCCTTCTATCTCTAAATCTTTACTCCTACTGGAGCAGTTGGTAGTCTCGCTTCCAGGTTTTTTTCGTCCTACCTCCCATGGTTTTTTTTGGTACCTCGTCCCACCTCACACTGAGCCGCCACGAACCAAAAAAAACCGTGTATCGAAGCCCCCACCCACCCTCACGCATTCCAGGGCCTAACCTCCGATCGCACCCAAGACAATCCCGGTGAAAAAAACCCTACGAAAATTAACCAGCGAAAAAAAACCTAATGGAAGAGTTGGTAGTCTGGTACGGTTTATTTTCAACACTTTCCTAATGACAAAAGATCACGAATCTAACTTTCCTACCTTAGCCAAATCAACGAATCTTTCTCATTAATGCAATTTACTTTAGGAAACAAATAATAGATTCTTTCCTACCTTAGGCAAATCAATGGATCTCTCCCATTAATGAATTTGCTTTAGCAAACAAATATTAGATTATTTCCTATCTTAGCCAAATCAATGAATCTCTCTCATTAATGCAATTTGCTTTAGGAAACAAATAATAGATTATTTCCTACCTTAGCCAAATCAACGGATCTCTTCCATTAGTGCAATTTGCTTTAGCAAACAAATAATAGATTTTTTCCTACCTTAGCCAAATCAATGGATCTCTTCCATTAATGCAATTTGCTTTAGGAAACAAATAATAGATTCTTTCCTACCTTAGCCAAATCAACGGATCTCTCTCATTAATGCAATTGCTTTAGGAAACAAATAATAGATTTTCAGGAAAGAAATAATCTCTAATCTATAATTTCTATCTCTAATTTCTACCTCTAATCTCTAATCTCTAATTCTCTAATACTAATTATTATTATTAATAATTAATAATTAATATAATACCTAAAAGAAACGCAGTGTTCTGTTTCCCGTCTTACGTCGTCGAACCCTTCGTCGAGCCTTCCTCCCGTGCGTTGTTGGTTTTCCCTGTGTATGTTCCACCCCAAACGTGATTTGTTCTTCTTAATTACGTGGTCCCACCCCCATGCGATCCGGCGAAAGAACCAGCAAAAACATCATACCCACGCACGCAAGCAATGAAAAATCCACGCAAGCCGTGTCTCCTCCTCCCTGTTCAAACCCTAGCCGCCCCTTCCCAGTTGACGCCGCTAGCGAGTAGCGCGTAGCACAGGCACCAGTGCGGCCCTTCCGTGGCCCCCCTTGACCTCGCAATGAAACAGCTCATCGGCATCGACGACGAGCCGGTGCGTCCGGTGTTGATTCCTGTGGATGGGTCAAGCAGGACAGAGGGCGGTGGATCCGGGACATAGCCATGAAGTCTGCTTCGATGCGCGCCCAGTATTTGTCTCAAGTGCATGGGTCGATCCTGGACGGCGGGCGATGGATTAAGGACGTACATAGCAGCTTTCACCTACGAAAACGACCGACTACTCAACCTCCTCTCGGCGGTGGCAGCGGCCAGGTCTGGTTAGCTACCATTTATCTTTAATACATGCCATGAAAGGCGATCAAGAGGAGCAATCATAAGCAGTGAGGTGTTCCAGGGCTACGAGCGCCAGTACTGCGACTCTGCGTCTGCGAGGTCTTCGCCAAGATTGCCACCCTCTCTTCCCGTGCCTATTTCTATTCGCTGTTGTTGGTTTCGTCTTACATGATGAGATCTAAGCAGACAAGATGAAGCATAGTCTCTCTGAGATCCAGTCCGACGTGCAGGATGCTGAATCGCTGGTAAATACTAGATTGTGTTTTATGATTTGATCATCCATTCCGCTGCCTAACATACTGCCTTTGGGACATTTGGCAGGTGAAGGCTTCATTTTGGATGTAGGTGAATGTGTGATTTCTGGAAGTTTGTGAAGAGAAGAAAAGATTGCCATGTGGCCAGAAGTTTGTGAAGTAGAATTAATAACCTTCTGGTTATTGATCAATATATATATCTTGGATGTCCCATAGCAACGCAAGGGCATTCAGATATCCTTGAAAAATAAGAACTGTCAAACCGCTTAAGAACCTGCCAGGTCAAGCCTCTCCCTCCGCTGTTTGGCACTGCCTACCCCCTCTCCCCCGAATACCACGACAGGGAAGATCCGGTCCATCGGGAGAGACCGATGCTGTCGACCATTGATGTCGCATGGGAGATCTGCGACAGTGGAAACATGCTCCCCTTCGCGCCAACGGCCCCTTGAGGTCACTGACACGGGTGACCCAGCGATTCGCCGCTGCCATCCCGAGCTACTTTGCCAACGTCATGGGTGTGGGCTACTGGCCTTCCAGGTACTCGACCGCCGGGCTTATCAAATTGGGCCGCCACGGTGCTGCTGGCCACCGCCGGTCTCACTATAGAAGCATCATGTGTCGTCGGCCATGCCAGCATCGCCACCTACATTGCCCAAATCAGTTACCCGTACGGTCCATGCATACCCGGAGACGTTGGTGTGTTCACACTTCTCATGGATCTTTGTATTAGCCTGATAGTGTTGGGATCTCGAAATTTTGATGTAGGTGAAGAAGGGATTCCTATCTCGAAATTCTGCTGTAGGTGAAGCGCCTCCTGTAGGCCATGGAGATCACCAGGGATGCATTGGGAGGCGGGCGACGTAAAGTGCTGGAAAGGAGTATTGTATTATGTATGGTCCTCCTTCGCTTTTTGGAAGGTTGTATAGCCGTTTTGATACATAAGATATAATTTCAGTTTCTACATACATATTGGTTTGAAATGTTTTCATTTTTTATCATTTCAATGAATAATGCAATCTGGATTTGTTTTATCATGCCAATTTGAGGCATTCTATATGGGCTGGTTGGAGGAATATTTTTTTTGACGCACTATGTGTGAACATGTTGAAGGGGCATGACCATCAACAAGCTTGTGGCAGAAGTTTGAATGTGAGTAGCTCCTATCTTTTGTGTACTTATTTTCAGTCTATCAATCAAAGGGTAGAATGATTACATGTGCAGTTATTTTGGTGTGAGCTTTGACAAGGGATGCCGATTGTTATGTTGAAGAGGCTAAAATCTTCCTCGATAAGTGATGTGCATTATGCATCTGATAAAAAAAAGGCTTTAGGGAGTTGATTGTGCCCATAAGAGGTGGTCCTGATATTAGGCTTGCTATAACATGTCATATTTAACACGTAATGTTCTTTACCAACCAAATGTTCACGTTTTAGATTATAAAGAATGATGACCAAAGAGCTCCAAGAACTCGGTTCTGAAACTTTTGGTTAGTTTGAGTAATGAAATGTGACCCTACTGGAAGTTCTACCTCATTTCAGTTCTTCTCTTTTCCATTTAATTATCTATTTCATTCCAAGCTAATTGTCTTACATACCTATATCTTTCAATGCAAGACTACACGAGGACTATGGTCTATGGGATATCAAGCTCCTTCAAATAATCTGCACCAGTTCTTCTAGAGAATAATGTGTATGCATGGTCTACAATGGAGTTTACAAGATAGATTCACTTACTCAAAGATTCAGCCTAACATTTTCCATAAGGATTATGATTATGTATGTTATACCAACTCTCAGTAATCTCTACTACTAATGTCTTAGTTGGTAGTCTCGCCTCACTCCACCTCATCCCACCACTCTTATCTTTCGTCCACCTTTGACATCATCACATCACAGCATTGGGCTGGCCCATTAACGTGTATGTGAACACAATCCTCCCATCACCTGCCCTCCTCGCGATAGTCCTGACGTCCTCGCGCTTCCGTCCTCTTCTCCCTGATCTCCTCTACCAGCGTGCCTTCCTTGCGATCCTCCTGACGTGTCCTCGCGTCGCCGTTCTCTTCTCCCCAAACTCCTCTACCAGGGGGACTCCTCTATGACCCAGGTGGAGCAAACATTGTACGCGGGTCTTTTTGGCTTTCACCGGTTCGTTCTCTACCCCTCCTCCATGACTCCCTTGTCATCGATTTTTTTTCGACGTCTAAATGCAATCCCTCCGTGGGGAAGTATGGTGTGAAGGAGAGAGGCCGCGATGGCGAAGATGAGGTGGGCGTCATCCCGTTTTAAAGGAAAGGGCTCCAGCGAGAAATGTCTCACTACTGTGAAAACCGAGCGGAAGGGGAGGGCCGGCCAGGAAAACATAAGGGTGTGTCATGGGGTGGTGTTTTTATGTTGCTACACTAGATCGCGGGAACCTGCCGTCGACTTTGAGGTTGGTGTACGAGAGAGAAATAAGTTTCAATATCAATAACTTGTCTGATTCATTTATATACAGTATAGCTCGTAGCAACGCACGGGCGTTTTACTAGTATAAAACTAAGATACGTCATTGGTCGTACTTTTAAAAAAAAACTCGTCGTTCCGGGCAACTTTCCAAATGGGCCTCCTCTACACCCAACCCAACAGACGTTTCTTCCTCCCAGCGTTGTTCAGAGTTTCGTTCCCCTTTTTCGAGAGCAAGTCAACTCAGTCACTTTCTCCACTAACGCGAAGCCCCAAACCGTCTCAAATCTCCATTAGCGCGAAGGTCAACCGCGCGCAGGATGGACAGCCCCCTCCCGCAGCCGCGCAGGCGCAGGCCCGTCGTCCTGATCGCCTCCTGCGCGCTGATCCTCCTCGCCACCGCCCTCCTCCTCCCGCGCGCTCCCGCCGTCCCGCCGCTGACCCCGGCCGTCCGCCTCGACCCGCGGGTCGCGCGCAGGAGCGGCAACGAGGTGCTGTGGCAGCTGCCGCCGGGCCCGCCGCGCGCCGCCGTGTTCGTCGCCCCCGGGTGCACCATCCGCGCCACCGACTTCTTCGACGCCTCCCCCGGCTGCCCGCGCTGCGCGGGGCTCCCCGAGGAGCGCCGGTTCACGCGCGAGGCGCTCCGCCGAGGCTACGCCGTCCTCGCCGTGTCCAGCCGCGCCGAGTGCTGGTCCCTCGACGCCGCCTCCGCCTCTGGCGACGGCAGCGAGCTCGCCGCCGTCGGTTCCGTCATCGAATGGTGGGTCAAGGAGCAGCACCCCGAGCTCGGCGGCCTCCCGCTCGTCGGCATCGGCGCGTCGTCGGGCGGGTACTTCCTCTCCGCGCTGGCGGCGAGGGTCAGGTTCAGCAGCGTCGCCATCGTGATTGCCGAGGGCGTGTTTGCCGCCATGGAGGAAATCCCGCCCGGCTACCCGCCGGCGCTGTTCGTGCACATGCCCAGGGACGCCGACAGGGCGCAGATGGTGGCGGCAAGCATAGACAAGCTCAAGTCAAAGCACGTTGATGTGCGGGAGATCCAGTGCGACGCCTTTGCCGTGAGTGCCGAGTTCTTGGCGGCGAGGATCCCGGGGTTGACTCCCACCGTCGCCGATGGCCTTGTGGACGTGCTTCGCCACAAGTCCTTCTTGGATGAGAAGGGGTTTCTGAAGAACGATGGGAGGAGCACACCGTGGAAGGAGGCGGCGGAGGAAGCCAAGATCCTGCCGGAGGGGTTCCGGCTGGAGAGGCATGTCACGGAGGAGTTGAATATTGCATATGCATACCATGAATTTACCAGCCTGGAGAATGAAGAGATCTTCAAATGGTTCGATTCCCATATGGATCACAAGATTTGAGGGCACATCATTTGTAGATGGCCAACTTGATGTCGGATTCATGGAGTGTTGCTGGTTTTGAGAGGATGCACCGTTATGATTCATGGGAGGTGGAAAGAAAGCACAATATTCTGTAAGGTTTATCCTCAAAGCTTGTAGTTTAACATAGACACTTATGGAATATGGTTTCTCATAGCGTCATGTTTTCCTTTGCCATTGTGGTTACTGCCTTATTGGTGTCACAAGCAAATGGGTGAACTGCCCTCATTGTTGTTACTGTTGTAACTCGTCCAACAGAAATATGTTAATGCTGTAGAAAACGATAGCACAACTTTTGATAAATTTATCCTCTCTGAGCAAGTCCTTTTTTGTGCAGCCACATTTTTCCGACTCCACTTGGATATCTTGTCATAGTGTTAGGTTCTGACTAACTGACAGTATATCTCTTTTGTGTTGAGTAGGATAACATTTTCTTTTGTAAGAATATAACTAAAACAGAAGCCATGCTTAGTCAGTAGGGATGCAGGTGGACGTCCCTGCCGTTTCGGTGTCTGTCCGCGCCGGACCAAGATGTATGTACTAATCTCTGTTGCTGTAATAGTTGTGCTAATGCTGAAATGATTAACGCGGACCTATTAGTCAGTCACTAGAAAAATTGATAGTCAATTTTGTTACAACTATTTGGTGTTCAAAGTAGTGCATCCGGAGAAATGATCATTGCAGCTTTTTTTATATCTATAGTTATTACTCTGTTACTTGCAGTGTTATCCTGTATGTAAGTCGATATTATCAATTCATTGATAAACAATCAGTCAGCAGTTGAGCACCGACATCTGCAAAAAAATGTTTGAAATCACTTATCAGTAGCTATTACTAAATTCGTCCATTTAACTGGACATTCAGATATTATTAATTACCTCTCATCCAACCCTACCTTGATCCAAGTAATGATCTTTTTTTCTTCCAGAAGCTCTTGATTTTGTTCCCAATTCATTTTTACACACCTTTTATCATATTTATTGTTACATATTTTTCCTTATGTATCTTGCAAAATAAAATAAAAGATATTTTTCCTTATGCACGATTCCATGTGTACTGTGATGGGGATAGAGGATGTGGATTGAGCTATTCGAGAGCAATTCCTCTTAGGTAGTCTTTGCCCCTACAGTTGTTATAAGTGCTTGCATTGAAAGGTGCTTCGGTGAAAGAAGAGAAACTGATCATCCATCTTTTTAACACGAGGGCTACTCTTTTGCAGGGAAATCCGCTTTGTAACACTGAAAATGTGTCAATTAGAAAAATATCCCAGTGTGAGGATGATTAGTGATGCAATGGAGTTTTTTTGTTAGCATTCATATTCATTTTAGTGTTTGCTAGCAATTTCGACAGATGCAGATTAACTTCTTTTCCCATTAAAACGGCCAATGATACTGTCGAGTTACTGACATAGTACATGTTCTATGTCTAGCGTCAACAGGTTAAATCCTGTGAAGAAAAATAAGCAGGGGTGAAGTTTTTCCTCCAGGAGGTAATTTTATCAGAAATAGTAGTTCTCAACTGTGATTAACATGATGTTGCTGATTCGACAATATTCTTACTTGATTATGCTTGGCATTCAACAATTCTGAATCAGACATGATGCATATAGCACATAGCACATCCAATGCAGAACTAGAGCTTATAAGTCATAATTAATGAAAAAACACCAAAATGCTGACTGACTTCAAGTGAGGTTTGAATAAATTTTCTTCTAGAGTAAATTAACACTTTAGCTTTCATTTCACATCCAGATTGACTCTTTTGGAGAAGTACTGAAGGGAAAGCTTCAACTCATCTTGGAAGTTTTTGGGTTTATGTGGTATCAAACACCAATCCCTTGTTTTATGTGAACATTGTGAAGTTTTGTTGTACCGACTAGTTGTTTGATGAGTTATCCAAATTTCTGAATGATTACACTTGTTTCTCTGACCATTGGCAACATGTGCTTTCGTCATAGGATTTTTGGGGTTCAACAGTAAGATTAAAAGGTTGAACTATGAAATATAGGATATCAGGGGAAAAGATGGTTTTGTTACAGGATTTTCTGGGATTCAAGAACAAGGTTCATAGGTCCTTTAGCTATGCAATCGAAGAATAACTAACTTTGTGGCATTTGCTAGACTGCTTTGTCAATTTGCCAAACCTTTGCTAGGCAAGTTTGGCCATTCCATTGCAGTTTTGTTATGCCATAGTTTCTTGCTATGTAGCACACCTGTCGTAGACCCAATGTTTTGCAAAACTTGCCTATGGTGTGGCGAACAGTTTGTTAGCAACATGAAGTGTCTGCTTGCCACACTTTGCCACAAGGCCACAAGTAGGAGTGGTGATATTTAGAGTATACAACCAAACTGCTCTAAACAGCTGACATTTATAAACTTCTTATGTTGTAAACTGAGTAGCACTAGTCTGGTGTTTGATTTATTATTGCTCTTTTGTAGTGTTCGAAGTACATAGTTTTTTCTATGTGTTACTAATCCAGCATAATGGAGCTGGATTAGTAACACATAGAAAAAACTATGTACTAATCCAGCATAATAACATTGATATCAAGCAATGGAAACGGATGGATTTATTGCACTCAAAATGTCATAGATAGTGACATTACATGATAAAACAACAAAAATACAAGAAATATATCAAGCCACAAGATAGCATCAATCAAGAAAAATGCGTGGGAGGAAGAAATTTAGCCAAGAAACACCAATGACTAAAATTAGTAGTGGAATTCATTTGCCTTCTTGAAGACCCCAGCTTGGGCAGAAGCAGCACCATCAGACGTCACGGCCACGACGATGCAGTCCTTCACCTGCTGGGTGGTAAATGGGAACTTCTTGTTCACAATGGAGTTGAGGTATGCAGCTGCCCCCTCACGTATCAGGGCGCCAATACCATCAGTTCTAGTGTTTGAGAGTGCATCATGCATATTTCCTAGCTTCTTGCCACCTATCATACTGCATGCAGCACCAAATGTCTTGCCGATGTTGCCAAGGGACCCAATAGCTGCAACTATAGCATCTGGGTGATTCTTCCAGTAGCTGCAAGCAAAAGAAAACCATTTAAGAACCGTTGCTTTGTGATGTTTGATACTTCTGATATCTACTAATTCTAGCTCTTACTCGCAGGATCCAATGAACCCATGCTTCTTTGGACTTGCAGGGACATCATGGGAAGGTGTACTTGGGGTGCTCGGTGTAGTGCCGTAAGATGGCGTCGGTGTAGTGCCGTAAGATGGCGTCGGTGTAGTGCCGTAAGTTGGCGTCGGTGTAGTGCCGTAAGATGGCGTCGGTGTAGTGCCGTAAGTTGGTGTCGGTGTCGGATTGTAGCCTCCTCCTGACCCATGCGTGGGAGTTGGTGAGCCCCCATCTGGTAAGGTATACAGAATTGCAGCTATCAGTACCGTGAAATCTAGATAGCATGAAGTTGCTTTGCATTGTTCTCAGTCCTTATTGCCTAGAAACGATGCTGTTTATGTTCAGCACGAATTCATTTCATATTTGCATTAGCTAGGTAGATGCAGTATGCAGTGATCTGCTTATCCACGGATCGCTGTAATAGATGCAGTGCAGTGCAGTGCTACTCTATGAAGTACTAATAAATACAGTGCTACACAGAAGGGATGGGGTTAAAACATACAGTGGGTCTTCTGCTCATGCAACTCTCCCAGGCTCCTGCACGAGCTCAGTGAAACAAGCCCCACCAAGACGGCACTGATCAGAAGAACCTTGCCACCCATCTTGCTCTCAGTGTGTGCAGGCAAGACAGAATAAGCAACTGAACTGAAGTGGTGGAGATGCTTGAGTTGATGAACTGAAAGGTCTCTGGATGCCTATATATACACGAGAGTGGCACTCTACAGTTGCGTTGATTCCATTGCATTTGCATGCATGGACCTGTGCATGTTCATCACACTGTTAGTAGTTGGCTATCAATTAATGGCTTCGATTCGTCCAGCTAGCCAGGCATGACGGTGATTTGCTCGCCCTCTCGACCAAGCTCCCACTGTGAGTATTGTAGAGCCTGTGTTAACCCAATTCTTCATCTGAATTTCTGGCTAGCTGCCTCATATTGTTGGTAGATGGTTGGGAACACTGGAGCTTTGAGTAAGGATGTCGCATTGATAGCCTCACTGTGTTTTGGACAGGCTTCTTTCCGCACGGAATGGAATACTCTCCGGTCCCGAAGATTTAATTGTGATCGGCGCTTGCCAACTACTCGGTGTACTTAAACTATGCATCGAGCTGGATTTGATGCTCCGACTCCAGAATTGAATTTGGGAAATCCAATGGAAACATGGTGGGGTATGGTTTCTTGCTTCTACTGGAATCTGGAGGCCCTGGATGATCCCAACCCATTTTACTCTTGCATTTGTTTGTGTTACTGAAGCTGTCTTTTGGTCCAACTGGAATGTGGTGTGTAGGATTCGATCTGCTTTTGCTACAAGTCAAACACCTGTGAGTGTCGTGCATTTCATCTTTAGATATTTGAAAAAGTAAGTTTTGCTTATTAGCACAGATTTGTGCTTCAAATGTTTCTGTTCCTTCTGATTCGCTTCTACCTTCATCAATGAAACGCTGTCTTTTCTTCAAAAAAAGTCTAGTGTTGTGGACTTGTGGTGCCTGTAACTTTTTGTTGGTCTGTATTACTTACAGTAGAATACTCCACATAAAAAAGTGATAATATTGCAGCTGTCATTCATCAACATCACACATGTTATCAAGATTTCTGTTCGCAATGGACTGTATCTAACTTCAGTTGGAATTACAGTTTAGGAGCCAATAGTAGAAGAATGATCCAGGAGCACTGTGGTTCATCTACTTGCACAATGCGGGCGATTGGCCCTGAGCACGGAGACTCCATGTGACCTCTCGTGCATTTGCCGGGCAAAGAGGTTTGGAGCGCCTTGAAGGTACCCAGGAATCTCGTTCCATGGCTGCCATTTTCAAAGGGTACAGTTACTTTGATCAATGTTGCGGGCCCTTGAA